GACAAGGAAAATGTAGTATAACCATGCAATGGAGTAATACTCAGCCATAAAGAAAGAAAAATTTAATTCATTTGTATGAAAGTAGATGAGCCTTAAGACCATAATGTTAAGTAAATAAATCAGGCACACAAGCTTAGCTATTTTATGGTTCCTCTTATATGAGGCATCAAAAGTAAAATTAAATTATAGAGCAAATTAAGAGATAGATGATAAGAAACATTTGGGGGATGGAAAGGTGATCTAGGAATGGAGGGAAGAGGAGGCAGGAGATGAGAAAAGAAAGTTAAAAAACACTAAGATGCAATATATACATATGGCAGGTCCACATGGCACATTACAAACATGTACTAAAAAAGTGAAAGATGAAAAAACTGAATAAAAAAGATCCAATCTAAAAATGAGCCAATCGGGCTGGGGATTTAGCTCAGCGGCAAAGCGCCTGCCTGGCAAGCGCAAGGTCGTGAGTTCCGTTCCCGGTACTGGAGAAAAACAAACAAACAAACAAATAAAAATGAGCCAATCATCTGAATAAGTACCTCTCAAAACAAATACTGATGGACAAAAAAAATGTGTGAAATATAGGTGTAACATTATTACCTATCAGAGAACAGCAAATCAAAAACTATAATGAGATATGATCATATCAGTTAAAATAGCTATTACTAAAGAACAAAAAATTTAAAATGCTGGAGAGAATGTGGAAAAAAGGAACTCACATACTGTTAGTCTAAATGTAATTACTATGGCCATTATAGGAAACAGCATGTAGGTCCCTCAGAGAACTACAAATATATAATACAGCAATACCACTACTGAGGTAATGAAATTACGTGATGGTAATTAAATTACCCAAAGGTAATGAAATTAGCACACTAAAGAGATATCTGCATGCTCATGTTTACTATGACACTATTACCAATAACTAACATATGAAGTCAACCAGGTACCCATCAACAGAAGAATGGATTGAAAAGTGTTTTATATATACACACACAATGGAATATTATTGAGCCATAAATAAGAATGAAATCCTATCATCTGCAAAATGGATGGAATGGAAAGACATTATGTTCAAAGAAAAAAAAACAGACAGAGAAAACAAAATATCATGTTCTCTTTCCCAGATAGAAGCTAAAAAATACTTTGAACTGAATATACATTAATGATTACTAGAGGCTGGGAAGGGTGCAGAACTGGGGTGGGAGCTAGAAAAAGAGAGGCTGGACTTCTTTTTTGGGGGGATGCTGGATTTCATTAGTGTATCCTATGTGTATGTGCTGAAATACTAGACAATGCATAAATATGAAAATTTATTAAATAGATAAAATTAAATTCAAATAGAACATTTTTAAGAACAAGCAATGGAAAAAGAGTAAAGAGACACAGGACACATAGGGAATAAATAGAAAAATAGCAGAAGTAATACCTTACTTGTCAGAAATTCTTAAAATGTCAGTAGATAGAGCTCTTGCAAAAACCAGACTTTAGCAAGAAGGATAAAAAATATGATACATCTATTTGCATAGGTGAGCAACTCACTTTGTAATCATAGACACACATAAGGTGAAAGCGAAAGGATGAAAAGAGCTATTCATTCCATGTAGATATTAATAGCAAGAAGGCTGAAGTGGCTATATTAGTATCAGACAAAAATAGACTAGTTCAAGATTTGGCATCAGATTGTATACTGGTAAAAGGATCAGTTCATCAAGAAGAAATAATGATTAGAAACATGAACCAGCATGCACTTATCCCATAGAGCCCCCAAAGTTATGAAGCAAACTGCTGAACTAAAGGAAGAAATAGTTGCAAAAAAAGGGTGAAGGGTTCTAATTTTGATTTTATAATGTATGAGACAACTGGAGGTAACATCAGTATAGAAAGAGAAGATTTGAATGGGGCTATAAAGTAGGCCTAAAAGACAGAGAGTCTTAAACCCAAAACAGGAGGATGAGCACTTTTCTCAAGTCCACAATGGAGCATGCTTCAGGACAGATCACATCTCAGACCACAAGACAACTTTAGTATATTATCAAGACTGGTCTTCTGTCTTGTGGTCTGAGATGTGATCTGTCCTGAAGCATGCTCCATTGTGGACTTGAGAAAAGTGCTCATCCTCCTGTTTTGGGTTTAAGACTCTCTGTCTTTTAGGGCTATTTTATACTTCTAGGGGCTGGGAATTTAGCTCAGTGGCACAGCGCCTGCCTGGCAAGCGCAAGGTCATGAGTTCAATTCCCAGTACCGGGAAAAAATCCCCCAAAAGAAAAAGACTGGTCTTCTAAAATCATGGTGTAATACAACTAGCTTGAAATAACAAAGAAAAAGTGGAAAATTCACAAATAGGTGGAATTAACTTGTTCTTAAACAATCAAGGGGTTGGGCTCTTGCCTTGCATGCACAAGGCCCTGGGTTCAATCCCCAGCACCAAAACAAACAAACAAATAAACAAACAAACACAAAAACACAATCAATGGGTCAAAGAAGAAACAAATAAAATTAGGAAGCACTTTGTAACTAATGGAATGATAATGCCACATCCAAGCCTTGTGGAATGCTGTGAATTAATGCTCCCAGGGAAATTTCTTGCTGAAAAAATCTTCATTAAACAGAAAAAAAGATCCAAAAGTAATAACCTGATTTTATACATCAGGATAGTAACAGCAAATGGAACCCAAAAGTGGCAGAAGGAAGGAAATAATAAAAAGAGCAGATGAAAGAAATAGAGACTAGATAGAGACTAAAGAAAATTTTATTTCTCCCTTTTCCAAGTTTTCTGGTTTTATTTGTTTTTCCTGCCTTATTGCTCTGTCCAGAACCACCAATAAAAGCTAGAAGTTATCATGAATTGAGTCAGTGGAACACAAGTAGAGTGAGTTTCCAAGTTGTCTTCCTGAAGCCAAAACTGTGATCACCTTTTCCCCTTCCACTGGAGGGAATTTAGATATGGAAGCTAGCTGCCTGCAGCCATGAAAATGAGGATGATATCCTTTAAGCTGCAAAAGCAACATTCTAGAAAATGAAAGAGCAAAAAGATGGAAAAACCCAGAGGCTCTGAAAGGCCTTGAGTTGCTGAGCCACTTTGCTAGCTATAGACTGCTCAAACAAGACAGCTTTTTGGAAAAGAAATTCACATTGGAGCCACAGTATTTGTTTTTTTTCTAACTGCAGCTTAATCTGTATGTTAATAAGGGACAACAAATTCCTTTGTTTTTGACAATAATAAATTTACAGTCTGAATCTTGTATCTTGAAAAATCCAAGTCTTATTTATTCATTTATTCATCGTTTTGGAAACTGACATTTATTTGACACCATATTAGACATAGCGGGATATGTTCAGAGGTTTCTTTTTATTGCTTTCTCTTCCTGCCCTTTATGCTGCTAACAAAGCCAATAGGTTAATTGCTGTCATTTGTAGGGCATTTTTTAAGGTAAGAAAGTTCAGATATCCTCAGTTAATTATTGTAAGTTCCTTTGCCTGGTCACAAGAATTTATTCTTCCACATGAATTTAACTGTGATTTTTAAATTCTTCAAAACCCCAGCTCAACTTCAGCAAGAAGTCAAACAAACAAAAGGGGATTTGACTCTGGTACACTCAAAGAATAAATTGAAGAGGTTAATATTGACATCCTCACCCTAGGGAGTGTTTCCTCTAATATGCGCAATATGTATGTCTTGGAGCCCTTTAAAAATGTGTCTCTGGGGCCAGGCATGGTGGCACATGCCTACAATCCTAGCACTGGGGAGGTTGAGGCAGGAGGATTGGCATGGGCTTCATAGTGAGTTCAAGGGCATCTTGGACTACATAGCGAGACCCTATCTCCAAAAAAAATGTATCTCTAAATAGTTTTAAGGATTTTGCTTTCAAAGTTCTTCCCACCCCCTGTTAACTTTATTGGAATGATTATTGATATACTAAATAGTAAATGTAGAGTGAAATGTAACCAAGAAATCCCATTAATCTATGTAATTACTATGTGGTAATGAAAAAAAAAAAAGACAAATAAACAGGAAATGTTTTCTCTGAATATTAGCTCTATTTAATAAAATATAATTTATCATCACTCAGAATAATAGAGATTTCTCAGGGGTCAGCCAAGCAGTGGGAAGGCAAAGCTGGGGATAGCTGCCAGGTTGCCTGACTCCTGAACTCGTGCTTCTTCTACTCTATCCAAACTGATCCTCCTGCCAAGGATCTACCTTTCCCTGGGTGCTTCCTATTATAATTACGGTAGTGTAGATGGGTCAACTGCAGAGCCATGCATTTATGTTTACCTAACACATTCCTATCTGCACTACTTGATTCTGCCTAATTCCCAAATCACAGTATATCTCTGGAAAACACAATTCCCAATAAGAATATAGTATGTCATGAGTTCTCTTTCACATCTTAAAACAGAAGTCTATGCAAGGACATGGTCTAACCTAAAACAATGATGTGTTAGTGGAAGAGTCTTAAGGCCAAACCCATAAAATTTTTATAAACATGGATTTTCTTGCACCTCTGACATCATTCCTTGTCTCTTTTCTGGAAAAGATACAGATCTGTGGGGATATTAAAGGAAAGGAAGAAGGAAGGCGTAGGTTTAGCCCCAAGGTTGCCTGGCCACTCTGCAGGGCTAACAGTAGCCAGGTCAGGAATGACAAGGCATTGGAAAGGAAATGATATACCTATAATTTATTCACCACATTTTGGGTTTTATTTCTCTATGTGTATTCTTCCTGGTCTAGACCCGAGGCAGGGTTTGTAGATTCGCATTTCCTGCTCAAATAAAGACTCCACCATGTAGGCTAAATATTGGATTTTACACTAAGCCCCCAGAATGGGGTTCTTCTTTCTAGTCTTGCTGTCCTTCACGCCACAAGAATTCATCTCCTGGGTCCGTCTTTTCCTTTCCCTGAGGAAGGATGTCCCACATTCACATCCATCTCCCTGGAGCTTTCAGTAACCCAGAAATGATATAAGCCAGAAACAAATGAAGCAGAAGGGGTCTTTTTATTGAAAAGTGGAAGACAAAAGGCAGCCCCAGGCTTGGGCATCCAGAATGGGTGGAAAGAGGGGCAGAGTGCCAGTGGGTAGTGATACCGGTAGGTGAACCAGAGGGGAGCCTGAAGGCCTGGGCCCGGGATGGGTGCAGTCAGGACAAGATCCACCTGGTGAGAGAGGAGAGAATTAGAGACGTGACTCAGCAAGTTAAAGCACTTAGACCCATTGAGGAGGCAGGGATACCCTCTCTGTATTTTTGGTTATGATCTCTCAGACTCTCCAGTCTCTTAGTCTATCCAGAACCTCCCCATTACTCTCTCTGACCACACTGGGATAGCTCTCTACCACTCAGTCCTCTTTTATGTGAGCAGTAGTCTCCTCTGCTTTTAAGTATTGCTCACCTCATTCGGGGTTCAAATATCCCCAATGAGACCTTTCACAGATGCTTGGCCTTTAATTGAGAATCCTGATTGAATGGTATCTTGTCCTTTGATCCGACCAAGGCCCTTCACAGAATCTTGACCTGAGACTGAGAATCGTTCTGTCAGGGAATCTTGTCCCTTAATCTGCAGGCGACCTTTCACAGAATCTTGACCTGAGAC